CTCCCTTCTGTTTTAAGAATCCTTCCTCATCACCATGTCACCTTCTACCGACATCTCTAGCTCATTCCTTCATTTTCTCAAGAATTTCAGAACATAATTCAAATTCAACCTAATTCAAATCAACCTCCAGTAGAAGTTTTGTTCCTAAAGCTAGACTGTGAGGATTAAATCATGGCTTCTCCATTAGCATCATACACTTGAGTAAGTAAACCAATGTCTTTGTGCTTTAGTTATCTGACGTATAAAATGAGAGTAGTAGTACTAGTGCCTACTTCCTAAATTTGTTAATGTTGCTGTGAAGATTAAATTAGATGTTATATAAAAAGTTCTTAAAACAACAGCCACCATGTTGAGGGTACTCAGTGGACATCAATTATTATTATTTACACTTTCCCCAAGTTCCCAATGTCTTTTTAATGACCAAATTCGCTATTCTTGTTTCCTCTATAGCTCTTGATGAAATTAAGCATTTCTCACTTTCACACACTTCTCTTTTTAATAGCTGTTACCTTGGCTTCTGTAAGACTGTGTTCTTTCATTCCCCTCCTCCTCTTTGAACAGTGCTTCTTTATCTCCTTCACTATGCTTTCTCCCTTCCCTGTGTTTCTAACCAGACATATTCTCTCTGTGTCTGCCACTCTCCCTTTCACCTTAGTGTACATTGAAACTTTTCTGTGTCATGTGAATTTTACTTCATCCTAACTTACTGGAATATAATAAGAAAAATACCACCTTAAAGGATTCTGAATGCAAAGAATAGACTGAGACAGCTTTATTAGTTAATAGTGGCAGGTACCTGGGCCTAATGAGTGCTTTTGACATGTAAGCGATGTTGAGCACCTTTAGCAAAATCTACACATTTCATTGGATATATTACAGTAAACACACATCTTCATAAAGGTTGGAGTAATGGTCATAGGAGAGTAGTGGTGCTACCGGTATAATATTGATTTTCCTGTGGTATTGGTTCTCTTATTTTCTGATCTATAATTCTATTACTCTTCAAAAGGTGAAATACTTTATAATTTATTTTTATGCCCTGCAATCCTAGTTGTGACTGGATTCCTGATGCTTTCCATTTTCTTGGTTAAAATAACAGACAGTAATTGTAGTAACCATAGTTACACACCTGGCTCTGGATTTGATTCTACAGTTTCTGGATCTCTTTTCTTTCTCTGACATCCGGTAAACAATTACCCTGTCTCTTTGCCTATGTTTGGCTTCTGACGCCTATCTGAGAAAATGTATGAGTTCTCTTTCACCTTTCCCTCCCACCTTCACATCTCATTCTTACTGCTGGTTTCTTCATTCATTTAACTTGTTATGGAGTAATATGACCAGATACGTGTAACGTTTTAAAATTCACAATATTTTCCAGATGAATTAATTACAAACATAAAACTACTTAAATAAAAGCATAGGGAGTATTGAATTGAAAATGAAACACTAAAAGATTTTAGTAAAGAATTCTTTTTGAATGCCGCAAACTGAGAATTGAAACAATAAGTTAAACTGGTCATATTAGATATTAAAAACATACTTTCAGAAGAGCAGCAAATACCATTTGGATATGTTTTAAGCGTTCATACATCAGCTAGTAACATTCAAAAGTATATTGAGTAATTAGCTACATAACAGACCTCTGTGTTATTTATACAGATGACAACTAAGTTATCCAAAACCCTGATAAATCAAACCAGGGATGTATTTGCAGTGCTAGATTTGCGTTTCATGCTACCTTAAAGAACCTTTCTGCACTGAAACCACATCAGCTTGAACACATATATCCAGCAGTGCTTCTAGGATGGTAAGAGAGGTTGTTAAAGATATGTTAAGTCTCTTACAGTGCTGTATTATTGCTTTAAGGGCAAAGTATACATCAATTCCTTCTTTAAAAAACTACTCCTGTGATGACACTGATGTGAATTCAAAAAGCTTTTAAGATTTTCTTAGACTGATTCCATGCTTGAAGGCAAAACTCTCCACTAACCATTATTAGAATAATGCCTAAATTAACTGATCTGTTGTGATTCATCTGTATGACAGTATCATTGGCAAACAGTTAAAAGTGTCAGTTATTCACCACCATATACTAAGAGGGTGAATTGCTATTCATTCCTTACTGAATTAGCACAACATTCACATAGAGAAGAGGCTAAAGATCCATCTTTGGCATTTCTGGTTTCCTCTTGTGGTCCAATCAAGTCTTTAGGTCTGAGGCTTTGAAGGGTAACTGAGTAATAACTGTGTCTGTATTCCATAAGGTCAGGGTGTGTGCCTCATTTGCCCACTTCTGTACCGTGACTGTAACACAGTGCTTGGAAAATAAACAGAACTCAATGAATAATTGTTGAATGAGTAAATGAATGGAAGATTCTGCAGTCAACCACAAGACTTAACTGAAAAAAGGCTTGAAGCAGCATTGTGCTTATACTTCAGGCAATAAATTTCAAGGTTTAAATAATTATAATTTAGAACCAAATAGGGCCAAAAAGAGGTAAGGTTATATTTTTATCCAAGGTTCTGCCTTCTTTCCCCGTAACTCTTACTAATTTATCAGGTCTCTCTAACGTGTCTTCCTCTCTAGGAATCCTTCTCTGACCTTTTCACCAACCCAGGCTAAGAACCCATCTTCTATATACCTCATGGTGGATAAAACAGTACCAGATCAGTTTGGTACTATTTGAAAAGAAGAGTGACTGACACAACCTGAGTCTGGAAAGGTTGAAGGACCCACAAAGGGCCTTGTCTAATTCTAAGGGGCTTAAGAAACATCCCATGAATGATGTAAAGCCATTGAAGAGATTCTAGCAGTAGTGGCGATATCATATTTTAATTCAAAATGAATCATTTTGAGAAATTGTAATAGAGCGTGGGGTGGTAAGATTTTATAAACATTATTTTGACAGTCTAGATAAGAGATCATGAGAACAGAGGTGAGAGAGAGATCAGATTAAATAACCAGTTATGGGGTAAAATCAGAAGGAATGAACAGAACAGAGGTGAGAAGAAAGATCAGATTAAATAACTATTTAGGGGACAAAATCAAAAGAACCGGATAATGGTTTAGATATAGGGAAGACAGAAAGATTAGTTTCAATCACTAATTCAAGAATTTACTGACTACCTCCTGTATTCTGAGTACTGTGCTAGGTAGGAGAGATAGGACATCAAACAAGCACCATCCTGCTCTCAAGGGATCACAGTCTAGGCGAAGAGATTATGGTGTTGAGTTGAGCAAAGGATTGAGATCTTGATGACTTTCAGGTTCCTAGCTCAAACCACTGAATTGATGAAACTACCAATACCCAGGAAAGAAAATAAAGGAGAAGCAAGTAGGAAAACAAGATACCTGATCAGGTACTGGATCTCTCTGCCTTCCCAGCGGCGTTTGACTTGAACCCGGAGCTCGCTGAGCAGATCACGGAGCCGAAGGCTCTGTTAGACCGAGAAGGGAACCGGCGGCACAGCAGCCTTATTGACATAGACAGCGTCCCTACCTACAAGTGGAAGCAGCAGGTGACTCAGTGGAACCCTGTGGGACCGAAAAAGCACAAGATGCCCCTCTTGTTCAACCACCTGGAGCCCCCGGAGCTGGCGGGGCATCTTGCCTACTTGGAGTATGGCTCCTTCTGCAAGAACCTGTTCCAGAACTATCAGTTTCGTGACTCATGGCTGAACCGTGGACAACCCCGTCCTGGAGCGATTCATCTCCCTCTTCAACAGCGTCTCGCAGTGAGTGCAGCTCATGATCCTCAGCAAACCCACAGCCCCGCAGCCAGCCCTGGTCATCACACACTTGGTCCACGTGGCAGAGAAGCTGCTGTTGGCAGTGGTCGGGGGCCTGAACCACAGCTCCATCTCCCGCCTCAAGGAGACCCACAGCCACGTTAGCCCTGAGACCGTCAAGCTCTGGGAAGGTCTCACGGAACTAGCAACCGCGACAGGCAACTGTGGCAACTACCTGCACTGGCTGGCGGCCTGTGTGGGTTTCCGCTTCCCCATCCTGGATGTGCACCTCAAGGACCTGGTGGCCCTGCAGCTGGCACCGCCTGACTGGCTGGACCCAGCCCGGACGCGGCTCAACAGGGCCAAGATGAAGCAGCTCTTTAGCATCCTTGAGGAGCTGGCCATGGTGAGCAGCCTTCTGTCAGCAGTTCAAGCCAACCCTGATCTGCTCAGCCTGCTCGTGGTGTCTCTGGATCAGTATCAGATGGAGGATGAGCGGCACCAGCTATCCCTGCAGCGGGAGCCACGCTCCAAGTCCTCGCCAACCAGCCCCGCGAGCCGCAGCCCGCCACCTCGGCCCCCGGTGCTGGAGGAGTGGACCTTGGCTGCCAAACCCAAGCTGGATCAGGCCCTCGTGGTGGAGCACATTGAGAAGATGGTGGAGTCTGTGCTCCGGGACTTTGACGTGGGTGGGGATGGCCACATCTTACAGGAAGAGTTCCAGATCATCCGTGGGAACTTCCCTTACCTCCGCGCCTTTGGGGACCTCGACCAGAACCAGGACTGCTGCATCAGCAGGGAGAAGATGGACTCCTATTTTCTGCGCTCCAGCTCTGTGCTGGGGGCCACAGGAGCTTCGTACACAACTTCCAGGAGAGCAACTCCTTGCGCACGGGCGCCTGCCGCCACTGCAAAGCCCTGATCCTGGGCACCTACAAACGGCCTCAAATGCCGAGCCTGTGGTGTGAACTGCCACAAGCAGTGCAAGGATTGCCTGTCAGTGGAGGGTTGGCGCAGGACCCAGAGCGTGAGCCTAGAGGGGTCTGCACCCTCACCCTCAGCCACACACAGCCACCATCACGGCGCCTTCAGCTTCTCGCTGCCCCGCCCTGCTCGGCGTCGCCCGGATGCGGTGCCTGCCATAGATGCCCGACCCAGAGCGCCCGCAGCGGAGTAGAGGAAAAGCTCCGGCGAGGCAGATCCTGCGCCCCTGGCGGCGCGGCCGCCTTGCAGGCCGCCCGAGGAGGCCCCTGGGAACGCCTGTCAGTAAGATGTCGCCCCCTGTGAAGCTGACGTTCCAGTTCCTGGCCTGTGCCTTGGCCTCCTGCTGTCTGGCTCCTGCAAGACACGGAGGAAGCGGCCTTCTGAGCACAGCCCCGTGGTCCCCCCGGACAGGACCACCCCAGTGTTCACCCGTGCCCTGAGCTTTGGGGACAGAACCGCCCTGGTTGACCAGCACGGCCACCACAGGTACGCGGAGCTTTATTCCCGCAGCCTTCGCCTGTCCGGGGAGATCTGCAGGCTCCGCAGGTGTGCTGGCGGGGGTCCTCCGCGAGGAGAGGGTCTCCTTCCTGCGCGCTAACTACGCCTCCTACGTCGTGGCCCAGTGGGCCTCGTGGATGAGCGGCGGCGTGGCGGTCCCCCTCTACAGGAAGCACCCCGCGGCCCAGCTGAGGGGTGTCATCCGCGACTCCCAGAGCTCGGTGGTCCTCGCCGGCCAGGAGTACCTGGAGCTCCGGAGCCCGGTGATCAGGAAGCTGGGGGTCCCGCTGCTGCCTCTCACGCCAGCCGTCTACAGTGGAGCTGCGGAGGAAGTGGCAGAGGGGCTGGTCACGGAGCAGGCGTGGAGAGATCAGAGCGCCATGATCATCTATGCCAGCGGGACCACAGGGAGGCCCAAGGGTGTGCTGAGGACGCACCGCAGCCTCAGGGCTGTGATGACTGGGCTGCTCCCCAGTGAGCATGGACCAAAGACGACGTGATCCTCCACGTGCTCCCGCTGCACCACGTCCATGGTGTGGTCAGCGCGCCGCTCTGCCTGCCCTGGGTGGGTGCCACCTGCGTGATGACGTCGGAGTTCAGCGCTCAGCAGGTCTGGGAGAAGTTCTTAAGTTCTGAAACGCCACCCATCAGTGTGTTGTTTATGGCAGTGCCTACCGTATACACCAAGCTGAAGGAGTACTACGACAGACATATTACCCGGGCGCATGTCCAGGATTTCGTCCGTGCCGTTTTCGTGAAGAAAAAATCAGGGTCATGGCCTCAGGCTGCGCCGCCCTGCCCCTCCCCGTGCTGGAGAAGTGGAAGAACATCACAGGCCACACCCTGCTGGAGCGGTGCGGCAGGGCTCTCTCCGGGCCCCTGAACGCCGCAGCGCGCGTGCCAGGTTCTGTGGGGACCCCGCTGCCAGGAGGGCAGGTGCGCACTGTCTCCGAAAACGCACAGAAGGAAGGCTGCGCCCACGCCGTCCACGCAAAGGGAGACGAGAGGGGCACCACGGTGACCCCGGGGTTTGAAGAGAAGGACGGGGAGCTGCTGGCGACGGGACCCTCCGTGTTTCGAGAATACTGGAATAAAAAGCGCATTCACCGGGGATGGCTGGTTTAGACAGGGGGACACCGAGGTGTTTGAGGACGGCCAGTGCTGGATCCAAGGCCGGAGCTCCGTGGACGTCACCGAGACCGGAGGCTACAGGGTCAGCGCCCTGGAGGTGCAGCGCCCCCTGCCGGCTCCCCCCAGCAGCACAGACGTGACTGTGATTGGAGTCCGGGGTATGACACGGGGCCAGCGGATCACTGCTGTGGTGACCGTTCGAGGACACTCACTGTCCCACAGGGAGCTCAAAGAGTGGGCCAGTTCTGCAGGCTGTAAGGAAGCCTGGCTGGGGAGGCCTCAGGAGACTTCAGTCATGGCGGAAGGCGAGGGGGCGGCCGGCGCGTCCCACGTGGTGGAGCAGGAGGAAGAGCTCACCTGCAGCAGATTCCTTCAGAACAAACATTTGTCTCTGTCTTGTTCCCTCTCCGTTCACACCCTCCCTGCTTCCACCCTGACTCGCCTTCTCCTGAGCACTGAAGGTAGTTTTGGTTCGTCAGCCAAACAGCAGGCAGCACAGCAGCAGGGCACCACAGAGGCCTGGGTGTGCAGAGCACAGCTAGAGCACTTACCTCGCCTCAGCGGCTGCTGCTTTCATGAAACAGCCACATTGCAGAAAAGAAAAAAAAAAAATAGTGTTTAGGACTAAGTGATATCCTTAGACTAAGCTTCTATTATTCTGTGATTCTAAATTACTCTTTTAAAGAGTAACATCTTACTCTTTAAAAGGACTCCTTTAGTTTCTTAGAGTAATTTCTAGGAAGGTTAATTATTTAAATTCACTCCCGCTAGTGAATTCAAAATGCAACCTGCCTTGCTAATTTTAGAGCCCTACAAATATTTTCAGAAATTCAAATCTCCCTTAGCTATGGCTAAATATAATTGTTGAAGGAGTACAGAACAAGGAGGTGATTAAAATGGAATGCACTGAACATGACAGAAAGAATAAAATGTAAGAACAAGTTCAGAAACTTAAAGAAAAATAGAATGGCTAGGAACCAAGAGCTCATCACGTTAGGCAACAACAAATGATGACGGGGAATGGCGGGGAGGCAGCCTAGTGACAGGGGACTCAGTGAAGACTGAGAAATTCAAACTCAATTTAATATGAAAGAAGACATTTCTGCAGAATTTGCAAAAGAATGACTTAAATCTGATGTTCAAAGACCTTATCGTGGCCTTTTACATAGGGATAAAGTAGAATTAGGAAGAATGGAGGTAAGGACACAATTGGATGACAGAATCATGATATGACTGGACAATGCAGCAGGAACAGGTTCAGTGACAACCCACCCAGGAATTATCATCTCAAAAAATGGGTAAAAATGAATTAACTTATTCCAGAAGTGTGCTTACAGTTGACAGGGCTCCTGCGAGGTTATCTGGAAAACACCACTCTTGAGAGATGCTCTTCCACAAAGAAGACATAGCAAAATCTTGGGATGTTGATATTATCATGAACTCCTTCAGAGATCCCAGCCCTAGGAAGCAGCATACTTGCAGAATGAAGGACAAGTGATAAATCTTAGATCTGAAAGTATGTTGAGAGCATAAAAGACTTAGTAAGATAATCTAGAATGATGTCTCATTAGCTGAAGTGTTGAGAAATAATCCAAAAATATGACTACATTATTGACGCAGAGATATTTATTGCATCAAGAAATGCCAAGTTTTTTTGATTACTAACAGAGGAAATGGGAACAAAAAACATAAAACATGCCCTGTCAATGATAATGCACTTCCATGGCAAAATATGAAGACATCGAAGTTTATGAGGTCAAGTCAAGCCAAGTCATTCATTTAATTCAGCCAAGCTTGTTGGAAAAAAAAAAAATGGGGGATCTGGACATGGCATTTTAGAAAAATGAATAATGCCAACCTAAAAATGATTTTGGTGCTTAACATTAGAATTACTGTAGTCTGAAAAAAAAAAAAGCCTTACTTTAAAAAATGTCAACACTTTCTTAATGGTGCAGAAGAATATCTCAATGATTTATAAGGAATCTACATGGATTCTGGTCAGCTTTTTTTGGAGCAAGAGCAAATAAAGCCATGTTGACATTAGCTGTGTTGTTAATACGCAAACAAGGCAAAAGTGAAACAGTTCTGCTGGCCTTAGCCCAGATGGATTCTGTGTTGGCAAAATTTATAAAGTGCATAACAGATAGCAAGATAAACAATGTTTCCCATATTTTCTAAAACAGTAATATGATCATATTGTTTTACCAAAAAGTAGAGAAAATTACCTGCTTCATGTGTATGTTTATATAAATTTTACTTAGTATACAAAGTGTGACATGCAACTCTCTTAAAATGAAAGGACTGTAAGTAACTTAATAAATTTAAGATGTGAGACACAAGAAAATACTGACCTAGGAAAATACTCTGTGGACAAGCTGTGGACAAGCAATGTATTATCACCATTATCACTCTGCTGAGTTTCTGGTGTTATATTAAAAAATTTAGATATATATAATTATCTCAATATTCCCTAATAATGATATAACAAATTTATTACATAAACACCATATAAAATATAACAACTATAAGCACACATTGGTAGAAGGGTTTTATCAGACTGTGCTGGGGGTAAAGCAGTGGTTCCTAAATGGCTGGCCTGACTATAAAGTCATGTGGGAAACATTTTCTAAGTTCAGATAACTTGGCCCTGGCTCAGATTCAGCAGGTCTACAGTGAAGCCTGTAAATCCATATTTTTTAAAAAAACATTCCTAGTTCAATTTTATGTCCACCCATGTCTGAGAGTCATAGGACTAGGGATAGAATGGGTAAATCAATGGAAGCTTATTAGAAGAGGTGTGCCTTGTGGAGCGGTTCATTCACACAGTATTCTGTACAACACTCTTCACTGAATAGTAACTATGTGAAAGGTACTTGGAATGTAAATTTAAAAGTAGACCAACTATTAGGTAATGTGACAATTCAAGTGAAAATATACACAAGATGCCCAGGAGGAAGCTCATGAGAAGAATATTTATATCAAGCAGGATGTTTGGAATCTTTTCTTGGAGGAAGGAAGGCTACAGTTGGAGCTTGAATAACAGAGAAGACAAAGGACTTTAGAAAAAGAGAGAAAATCAATAGAACAGCAAGAGGGAAGAGAGGAAAAGTAAAAAAGAAAGCTTAGGGGCAAACATACGTCTTGAAATTAAGTTTCTGGATATTCAGAAGTTAAATACACAAATCACTTAACAATTTTTCAGGTCCAATTCCCAAATGAAATCACATCTATTTTTACAATGTAGTCCCCATAATATGGTAACTGACTTTTATCTTTCTTATTTTCTAGGAATTATAGGAATGAAAAAAAATATAGCATCAAGATCTAAATTCCAGTTTTACCATTTACTGACTATATATCCTAAAGAAAAACATTTACCTCTCTACAACTCAATTCCTCTTATAAAATAGGCTTAATATTACTTTTTTATAGTGTACATATGACACTTTGATACATGCACAGAATGTGCAAGTCATAGTATTTAGGGTATCCATCACCTCAAGTATGTATCATTTCTGTGTTGGGAACATTTCAAATCCTCTCTTTTAGCTATTTTGAAAGATACAATACACTGTTGTTAGCTATAGTCATCCTACACTGTTTATTGAGCATTAGAACTTATTTATTCTATCTAATTGATTATTTGTATCCATTAGCCAACCTCTCTTCATCTTCCCCCAAAGACACACACACCACACACACACACACACACACACACACACACACACACACACCCTTCCCAGCCTGTGGTAGGGTTCATGTGCAAACTGCATTCATTACTTTCCTCCCTACCACCACTTCTGTTCCCAGTCTCAGCAAATGGTGCTACCAGTAATCCAATTGTCCAAACTAGAAACCTGGGTATTGCAGTTAACATCCTCCACAGTCACCCGTAGCCCATATGGCATCTTTGTGCAACTTAGAAAAGATCCTCTTTTCCCCTGACAGACATAGGCCATGCCAGAGCACACGAACAGGTAAGCAGGGCTCACAGGAGAATCAGCACCGACTATTTCCTGGGGAGCCATCCCTTGTGCAAGGCAACATCTGCAGGAGCATATGCAGTGTCCCTACTCTTCCTTGGTCTCAGTACCCAATTCCAAAACATTCCCTAATAACTATTATTACTGTTTTCTAAACATCCTTTGAACCTCTGCATATCTTGCTAACCCCAAAGTTCTCCTCATCCAAACTACTACCCTAACACAGAGATGATTTTAACAGCCTCTTTGCTGCCTCTGGTCTTGCTTACCTCTGTAACCTATGATGCAGTCAAAATGAAACTTTTCAACAGCAAATACAAAAAGTCATCTGTCTCCTTACTAAAATCCTGGTTAATGGCTTCCCATTGCCCTAGGAAAACGTAGAGGGTACATTCATGGGTACCACTTGATGGGTATGCAAGGTCTTTTATCATTGGCTGGCCGTCTGCTCCCTTCTCTGGATGCCGTTATCGCTGTTTCCCACTAACCACATTGCTTTCCAGCCTGATGAAAATCGTCTGCTTCCTTTGCTGCTTTGTGCATGCTATTCCTCCCAAAAGCCTTCAATCTCTTAGCCAATGCCTGCTTATGTTCCAGGTCTTAACTTAGATAATCTTTTTTAAAAAAAAACTTTGCTGACCATTCAAATGTAGTTTGAGACTTGCTTCTATGTTATTCTTTGTCCAATACTATCCTTTTCTTTCCATAATATAGCATTTTTTAATATTATAATGTAGGTTTGTCTTCCCAAGAAGGCAATCAGTGCTGTAAGGAGAGGCGCCGTGCTTGATGTGTAGACCATCGTGGTAGTGTTCACTGTGTGCCTGGTACACAGAGGCTGTTCCATAAATATTTATTAAGTTGGCTTATTAAACGTTAATGAAATAATTAGTATGATGTCTACCACACAGTAAGTGCTTCACAGATGGCAGTTATTATATTATTAGTTACATTAAAAGACTCTTTTTTAGTTCTTTGACTCCTCAGTGACCACATTAGTGGGAATTACCAGGAAATTAGAGAACATAAAAACAGCTATCTACAAATTTCTAAAGAATAAGATTTTGGGGATCACATATTTCTATCCCTCATTCCTAGATTGGGACCAGGAATGTAATGGGGCTAAAATTATTAGTTGAATTGGTGAAGCAAAGTTATTTTTCTTTCAGAGTTAAAAAAGAAGCTAACATTGAATTATTGTTTAATATTTATGTGGTTTGTGGCACTGACATTTCAAGAGTGAAAACTCTTTTTGTCATAGAACCTCTGTTGAGTGTCTATGGTTTGAATACACACACACACACACACACACACACACACACACACACACATACACACACACAGAGTTATAGTTAGAAGATTGGTTACATCATCCCATTCATTTCGCAGGGCTTAATGTGAGAAAGAAGTCAGTTTCTCCAGGTACCTGTAACCATGGGAAACACAAGAGTAGAGGCAAGAGAAGAAAATAAAATGTTCCAAAGGGCATGAAATTGCTTCTAGCTTTTGCATCAGGCAAAAAAGATGTTAGTGTAGGAAATGTGTTATTTATATGAACACTGACCATTAAAATATTTTCACAATAGTCTCACCTCTTTTTTCTTTATCCTTAAAATAATCCTGTTTGCTAACAATGGCTGGCGTTTACTGAATGCAAACGCTGAAGCTGAGCTCTGATGCAAACCTAATCAAAGCTTTATCAATCCTTTGAAAAGTTCAAGAGATAAAACAGCTTCTAAGAATTGTCCTACATTGGGCCAAAAAGGGCCAGAACTTGGTCAGCTGGTCTCAATCAGGCACCCACTTAGAAGGGTGGGACCATAAGCAAGGCGGCTTATTAGAGCTGAAGCAGTTCTTGAGACCTAAACGCTGTTTGTCACCAGCA